CATAGAGCCGGCTCTCTCCCTCTTTGAGAGCCCTGAACCGTTTTACTCCTTCTGCCTCGTCTCTGGCCATTTCCAACCCTTCTATTCTTCAGTAATACTGAACCTAAGAGTCTAAATTATATCCAGTAACATCCCAATTATTTATTTAAAACAGTTTACATTAATAAAAATGATGAAAATAGTTACCGATTCTATATGCTTTAAGATGAGACAATGAAATCCAAATTCGCAATAACTATTCCAGATCAAATCAAACACATATAGATGATTAATTTAACATATACTAAGCATGCAAGATTCGTTTAATATCCGATTAAAATCCTAGAGATCGTCTAGGCATGCACAGAACACAGGTCAAGGGGAGAGAGTAAGAATAAAACTTGCCTGTGAGATTTTGAATCAAAACCTCGTCGTCGTCTTCCCCAGTTTTCCAACGACGTCTGTTCATTGTCAACCTCCTACTGCTCTGGTTTAAATCCACAAGGAAAACATTCCTTCCTCCTAGGTCCGTCCTTTAATCCATAGCCGAAACCCCAACTTTAATCTCTCTGGTTTTCTCGTAATTCTCTGTTACGTCTCTCTACCACCACTGTGCCGTGAATAGGGTTCTAAAACCCCTAGGCAGACCTATTACATATATTTATAGGCAAAAATAAAAACCTAGGTCCAATTGTAATTAGAGACGGAAAACCTAACTAAGTCTAGTCAGCCAACATGATTTACCTAAAAGAATAAAAACCCTAATTTAACATTAATAATAAATAAAACTAATGGAAACAAATAAACCAATTAACTCATTTAAAGAAAATACATAATACAATTAAACCATTTAAACAATTAAAACAATTAATTCAATTAAAGAAAATAAATAATACAATTAACCTATTTAAATAACACAACAACTAAAACAATTAGGCAAATAACCAAATAATCAAACAAAAATGCAATACAATAATAATTAAAATGCCGAGACTATCCTTTTTATAATTAGGGGTATTACATAGCTTCCTTGAAATGTTAGCACACCCAAAGCTTCTATTAGATCAAGAATGAAAAGTCCCATTATATCTCAAATCCACAAGCTCATTTTTATCCAAGCAAGGCTTAAAATCCACCATACCAGTGGTCCATCTGAGAGCTTCACCAAAAGAATCATTGATATGTAGCAAGACATTGAAGTCTCTCAATAGAATCCAAGGCAAATTAGGCTGACCATGGAGGTTAAGGCTTCTCCACAAGCTCTTCCTTTCGAGGGCTGTGTTTGCTGCATAGATAAAAGATACCAAACATCTTATTTTTAGGTCAATGAGGAAGACAGAGCAGTTGATAACTTGACTTGTCATATTCGTAGGGGAGATATAAAGTTTTTCTGGTTCCAAAGTAACCACACTCTACCCAAAATTGAGTCTGATGAGTAATTGCAGGAGAAGTTCCAATTGAGAGCAATAAATCTGTGAACAGAAACAACATTCTCTGGACTAACTTTAGTTTCTAAGATAGCAATAAGACTCAAATTCGAATCTCTAACGAGCTTCTTCACCTTTACTTGCTCGAGGGGAGAGTTCAACCCTCTTATATTCCAAGTGGCCCAAATCATTGAGAAGAGTTAGAGAGGCTGCATAAACCCCTAAACCCTTTGAAGGTAACTAGTTTCCCTTTTCCATTTTTCTTTTTATTCTTAGAGAACTTAGGCTTTCTTGGCTTGATTATCCTATCCTCTATGGGAGAGTAAACAAGATCATTACTGTCACTTTCACATGCAGTGGATTGGCTCATAGCTTCATCTTCAATCTCAGAGAGGGCATCAAAGGGATTTGCAGTGGGAATTGGTTGTGGATGAGGGGTTTTACCTGGAACATTAGGCATACTGGATAGATCCACCTACAAACAAATTTCTTTACCTTTTCCTGAATTTGGTGTCTCATTTGTTGGGTTTATTGGAGACTGAAATATGGGAGATGGAGGTGATGTTGGTAGTGGTGGATCACAATAGGAGGTGGTTGTGATGGTGGTGATGGGAGAGGTTTTGTTGGTCTTCAGATTTTTACTTGGGACTAATTCCCAGTGCTGAGTACGGTTGAGCTACATGTTCTCTGGTTATGTGAGGGAATGTGCTTAGGCATGCAGCTATCCATGGTGTGTCCAAAAATGTTACATCTAGAGCAAGAGAAAGGTTTCCAAGGGTACTTTACCTCAATTTTAGCCAATGAACCATCATTCTTTCTCACTTGAAAGGAGCTCTCCAGAGTAGATCGAGGGTTGATTTCCACGCATACCTTTGCATAATCAAGCCTGCTCCTGCTTGTGGTGTTGACATCTGCAAAGAGGGGTCTACCAATGGCACTGGCAGTGTAACTTAACCCTTTAAGATTCCAATATTGAAATGGAACATTGTACAACAAGATCCAAATGGACAAGGAACTGGGATAGACATTTGGAGGAGGGGGTAGAGGGGACCAAGCTCTCAGTGATACCGCTTTCCCAGCAAGGAACCATTTCCCCCCAGCCAAAATGCTTCTACAGCTTTCCACTGAATTAAACATAAAATAGAAGATACCTTTGGAGATCCCAATAACCTTCACCAGACCTTTGTTAGTCCACAACTTGCGAGCCGATTCTGAGATTAGTTTGTAGGGCATCCGCCTCTGAAAGGATCCAATCAAACAAGTTTGCCAGTGTAGAGCTCCTTCCTCACCAACCTCCTCAGGTGGTTCGACAATTTTTCCCAACTCATTGCTCTTCGGTTCATAAAATTCAAGGTTCCATTCATCCTGTGGAGCTTGTGTAATGGCCGACCAGTTTCGTGGAGTAGCCTCCAGTGCTCTGTGTGGTGAGTTCTCAAAGGCCAGAGATTCCATAGTTGGTGTGCTTGGAGGTTGTGACCAGTTTCGGTAAGGTCTTCTCTTGTTACATTAGCCACGGGTGTGCTATTCAGCTCCTTTCCCTCAAAATCCGAATGTTTTAAATTTAAATTTGAATTTGAAGAACGTGATGGGTACGGTATGGTTAATATATATTCTCTGCTCTTCTATACAGAAACTCTTCGTCGGCTATCCTGCCTGCAACTTATTTGTTCAAGATCATAAACAGATGCTAGCACTCTTAATTATTACATTGGCACTATTTTATATCTGTATTTCATATAGGGTTTTTTATTTTTATTTTTTTGGGTTAAAGGTAAGCTTGAGTATAGAAAATTAAAGAATGTACATGGTTTCCAGAAGGGAAAACAAAAAGCCCTTAAGCTGACGAAACAGAATACAACAAATGATAATAACACAAAATATAGCATGGATATATCAACATGACCTGAGGGCCATTACAATCTCAACTGAGGAGTGATTGAGCAAAGACAAAATTACAATATCCCTCAAAGAAGAGATGTTGTAGGTCTTCAAACTTGTCAATTCTTCTCAGGTCAGCAGAGCACCTTAGCATGATTGATGCTAATGACATGCTAATGAGGGGATGCAACCCTATTTCTCTCTAGCCAGATGAAGTAAATTGCAGCAGATACGAGTAATTTTTTTTTTTTATTTTTTTTTTTTAGTTAAAGCAGATATGAGTAATTTGTGAACAAGAAATCCTTTAGAGCTCCAGTGAGTAGAACACCATCAGTTCCTTCCACTTACAAGTTCTTAACAAATTCAAAAATCTGAACATGAGTCCAGTCAAATAAGTCACAAATTCAGAAAGCTGACGAATCAAAACAAGATGGTTGGAAGTTGCCCATAGCATATCAAATAGTAACGGAGAGATGTTATAATTGAGGTTAACTGCCACCCGAATATAACCATTGTTATAGATTTTGATCTTTTGCTTGTCTTTGTTGAGTGTCTTTTATATTACATTTTTTTCCAAAATAGCACTATATATATATATATATAGCTACATTGTTTGTTATGCGATGTATTATGTGGTTGGTTGCTGTATATATGCTACATTATTTGTTGTGCTATGTCTTACGGTATGTGATTCAACTGTTGTATATTTGAATTCATTGTCCCCTTCGCAACCTAGATTTGAATTTAGAAATTAGACTTGAATTGTCCGTCTCATATTAGATGTCTATATTTAGAAATGAGAGTTTTTAAGGGTATTATCCTCTTTTAAAATTACCAGTCCTTTTTAGTTTGGATATGTATAGTTACCAAGTTTGAAATTTTTTTTTTTTTTTTTTTTGATAAGTAAAAATATATTAGAAAAACGTTCAAAAGGGGAACACGTCCCTAATACAAGAGAAAAGATCTAAGGACCGATAGAATCCAAGTGACCAAAGAAATCATCAATCGAGGAGCATGTACTTCCTCTAACATAAAAGAATAAGGAACGAAGAATATGAATTTTTAAATTAGCTAAGGACGATTCTTTTCCTTCAAAGGATTTGTTATTTCTCTCACGCCACAAACACCACCAGACACAATGAGGAACAATCTTCCAATAAGCACGAGCTTGTTTCTTAACAGGACAGCTTTTCCAAGCGTTAATCAATTGAGAGGAGTGCTTAGGCATTACCCAAAAAATACCGAAAATGCTGAAAATCAAACTCCAACAACCAAACGCCACAGGACAATGCAAAAGAATGTGATCCACGGATTCACTATCATCTTTGCATAAACAACACCAATTAACAATGATGTTGCCTCTCTTTCTCAAATTGTCCAAAATCAAATTTGAAATTTTTTTAAAACATAGAAAGGATAATGATGAATAGATAAGACTTATTTGTGGGACGTCTAAAAATGAAATCGTGAACCATTAACATGTGACGGTGGTAGTATTTTTTATAATATTTTGAAAGAAACATCATGCTTCGTGATGGACTGCGAGTGGCCGAGATGAGCAGTTGGACCAAAGTCCAAGTCATACTCACCAGAAGGTCTGGGCCGGGTTGGCTCGACAAAGGGCTCGGGCCAGACTGAAGCCTGGTGAGCTCGGGCTGGACTTTGGGCTTAGGCCATTTTGTCGCTTTTCACCATATCGTCGGTATAAATGAAAGAAAGTAGTGTCAGTCGCATTACTGCAAGAAAATCGTGAGAAGGGTATGGCCGACGAAATCAACGGCATATTGTTCCGACACATCGCTCCACAAGCTCACTTCTCCGATTCGTCCACTACTACTTTTCCGATTTGCCCTCGTCTTCAGACAAGTACTCACAACTCTCTGTCTCTCTTAAACCCTAGATATACATACATACGCACTTGTATCTATAGATCCCCAATTTGATTATCTACTGCTGCTAATCTTCAATTCTTGCTTTTGTATTTTCATTTTTAGTTCCTGCTTTGTTATATAATTCAAGATTGTTTGCACCTTGCGAACTGTGATTCTCTTTTAGATGATTAGATAGAGCACTGAACTGAAATTATATATGTTTTTTTTTCCCTTAATTCTGGAGTTTTATTTTGTTTGTGTGTGTCAATTGTTGTAAAATGTTTTGTGATTAGTTTACTGATGCTGATTGATGTGATCAAACTAATTTTATTTTGTTTGGTGTGTGAATAGATACAAAAACTTTTCTGATTGATGTACTGATGGTAGTTTATAGATGGATGTGATCAAACTGGTTCATGCAATCCCGTCAGAATGATTTTCTCTTATTTTTTAAGTTATTTTTCACTCTTGTGTATTTAATTTTGCCTCTGGTTATTTTGGAATATTGGTTAATATCTTATATATATATATATATATAGCTGAAGCACCCCTTGTACATCTGAGAATCTGAAAAAAAAAATCCTATAAGCTTATGGTTGTAACTTGTAAGGAATGTTTTGTGAGAATGAAAATGTTTATTGTGGTAGTTTTAAGCACACAATAATACTTCTATGAAATTACATTGGCAAACGAATGCCAACTGTATTTTTTTGCTTGTGATTTATTATTATTATTATTATTATTATTATTATTATTATTATTATTCGGTTGTCCCAATGGAGCTTTGGGAATTATTGGCTATATTTGAGCATTTATATGGTGTGGTTCTAATAAATTTTTCTTGCTGCAAGTCTCTGGCCTTGGCCTATGAGTAAAGTTAGTAAATTACATAATTTGTATCCATCAAATGGTAGTCACCCTTTCCTTGTCAAAGACCAATATGATATCTAAGATGTATGATATCTAAGATGTGTTGCTTCCTTCTGAAAATTCCATACTACTTTAGAGGAGCTGAAGATCATGTGAGAGTTCTTTGGCAAAAATGAAATGGAAATTCAAGTGAAAGATATTGTAAGCTCTAACAAGGAGTGAAATTTTATTTTATTTTTTATAAGTGACTAGGGATGATTTTTTGGGCATTGTTGGTGACATGCACTTAGACCTAGGGCTGCAAGTTGGGCTGGCCCAACCCAGCCCAGTCCCAACCCAACCTCAACCCGAAATCAGGTTGGGTTGGGCCAGCCTGAATTCTACCCAAAATGGGTTATGTCCATAACCCAGCCCGAATATTTTGGGCAGGTCAGCCGGGTTTCACGGGTCTTTCTTTTTTTTTTTTTTTTTGGGTACAAATATGCAAATTAAAAACACAATCATTCTTATTCTTTATTCAATAGCTTAATATATAATTTTAAACACCCCTTTAAATAAATAATTTACACAATAAAGCCTCTCAACCTGAAAAAATTAAAAGAATAGAGAAGAAGAAAAGTTTTAGGTTCTTACCTTCGAGATTATACAGTTAAATCAGATGAGAACTAGCAACCACTTGATCGGCCTACTCAACTTCCTCACCTTCCTGCCATCAATCCCCATCCTGAGTAGCGGCATATGGCTGAGCAGCAGGGCCAACAATACGGACTTAAAGAGAAAGAAGAGAGAGGAGAGAGAAGGGAGACGAAAAAATAATAATAATAATTCAAGAGCATGAGTTTTTCTCTCCCTCCTTTGCCTATAAGAGGAAAAAAATGAAGGGAAAAAAAAGAGAGAGAAAGAGAAAGAAGAGAGAGGAGAGAGAAGGGAGACAAAAAAAATTAAAAATAATAATTTTTTTATTTTATTTTGGGTTTTGGGTTGGGTTGGGTTCAAAAACCCAAACATTCCTGGGTATTGAGAAAACCCAATCCAATTTGAGCCCGATTTGTGAATTCAAAAGCCCAAATTTCAAAATTTCTAGGCTGGGTTTGGGTTGGGCTGGGTTAGCTTGCCCAAGTTGCACCCCTACTTAGGCCTGGCACCCAAACAATAAGTCAAAGCCCACATGGTTGTTTATATGATGTCCTGTTTGTAGTTGTTACCCTGCCATAGCAAGTTTCAATTCAGGAGCAAACCTTTCTTGCACTAACAATTTGTTGGCTTTTGTTCGGCTATATAGTTACTTTACAAATCATGATGTTGCTTACCATTATGTTGTAGTCGTCTTCATTTCTAGAAGAGTTTCTTTTATTGGCAATTAGATGAGGAATGGGTGATTGTACTTCAAATCAAATTAACTTCTACTTTAAGACTATAAATTCATTTAATCCACATATTGCCATATTTTTATTTTACCATCTCAATTCATGACAATTTTGGATCATGTCATTCTTTCTCAGTAATGCAATCATTAGTTGTTGTTGCATATGGTCAAACCATTAGAGTCAATTTGCTCTTATTTTATCTTCAATTAGTACTACAAACCTTTTCAAGAATGTATTTATTTTTAATTTTTTCCTTCTCAACATTTATCACAAACTACGTATTTTAACCACACTCATTTTAAGAAAGTGTTGATTTCTTTGCTGTCCAAAATTTTGTTCAAGGGTAATTACCATTACATTCTCTGAGGTTTGGATTTTGCACCTTCAGCCGAATATTTGACCATAATTTTGTTCAATTTCCCCTGAGGTTTGGTCAAAATTATGGATTTTCCCTAGCCATTTGTAGTCCATTTAATGCATTATCTCTATTCGAATGCTGAAACTACTTTCTTTGTAACTAATTGACACAACTACCCTTGAAAATCATTTAAATGACAAATATAACCAATTTTTAAATGACAAATATACGCTTTATCTTTATCCAAATTTTCAATTCATACCTTCTTTCTTTTGTCTTCTCCAGTTTGTCTCTCTGAAATTATACCTGAACAGTTTCTCCAATTTTTCTCTAACTTTTAATATACATATGACCTTACAGACTTCAGAGAGCCCTTTCTCTCTCCACAACTGCCCAACCACCATCATCACATCCACTGATCCACTCTCTCTTTCTTCTCTCAACCACCGCCCCCACTCTTCTCTCTTTCTCTCCCCCTCTCTCCCTCCACAACTACCATCATAACCCACCACCACCAGCCCCCACTTCTGTAACAAAACCTTTCAATTCACCTCACTTTCCATTTTTGAAGCCCACAAATCTACTCATGAGTCATGATCCGCATAAGCATCTTTAAACCTTAAATTCAACTTGTACAATCCCTAGATTGGCTTGATTTCATTATTTACTACCAAGCAGGCGGTTTTTTAGACAATGCCATATTTATGGTCACCTTTGCATGCTTTTGGCTTTTGTGACGCCCATCAGTTTGAATATAAATGTGACCGTAAATCCAAAATTTGAATTGTTCATGTATTTCATTCACAAACATCATAACCTACTTTTTTTCGTCCAATTCTCATACAAAATTGTTATCAACGGTAGAAGACACAAAAAATCTCAGGCGTCGGGAAACTGGAAACGACAACCAAGGAATTGTTGCCAGAATTTGGAATGAAGTGGTGAGTGAGGAAAGTAACAGATGGTGGAAGGATGTAATACCCCGATAATTTTAAAAGATTTATTAATTAGGATTAATTATTTTATTTTATTTTTCAATGATTTATTTTATTTTATTAAGTGCTAGATTAATTATCTTATTTTAATTAAGTTATATTTCGTGATTATGTATGATGATTGATTGTTTGTGTGGTTGATTATTGATTGAATTATTGGTGTGTTGATTTTATTGGTATTATATGACTTAGTTGTAAATTCTTGTTTGTTTATGTGCTTCATGTAATTAGTATTTTAATTTCTGTATTTAATTAATTATCTTATTTATTTAAATTAATTGGATTGGGCTTAAGGAAAGTTGGACCAAAAGATGTGGTCTTGGGCTTGTATGAAACCTTATTGGGTTAATTAATGAAGGTCCGTGGTTATTTAATTATTTAAATGATCACTTTTGTATCAATTATATATATATATATATATATATATATATATATATATATAATTAATTAATAATTGTTATGGAAAGATATATATATAGATATATATTTATTGATATTTATAAGTATATATGATTTAATTAACTAATGAGTTAATTATGGAAGGAATATATATTTATATATATATATGTTTATAGATATAAATTATTTAAAGATTATTATTTTAATTCATAATACTAGTTGGAATAGGATTTGGAATTTAAGATGTATAAAAATACACATAAGGCTTTAGGGTTAAAGGTTTTACACGTTAGAAAAATAAAACAGACAGAGAGAGAGGAAGAAGAAGGGCTGACAAGGAGGAGGTCGGATCTGAAAATGAGGACGTCGGAATTGGAAGAGATAATTAAAGCTTAAAGCGTCGGTTTCGTTTCGAAACCTTCAGGCGAGTTTTCTCTAACTTTCCTCTTAGAACTCATAAGGATTTCACCTTGAGTATCAAGGCTTTAATTAAATTTATTTGTTTAAAAATTATGGTTAGATCGGAATAATTAAAAAGTATAAACTATCACTTCCTTTATGCCGCATCCAATGGTCATAAATGAGTGCGCAAATGAACACGCTCACACTAGATTATTTTCTATTAACTATAATAGATGTAAGGCCCAGATCAGCGAGTGCACCATCTTCTCATGGTCTGCAATACACCAAATAATCCCATAGTTGACCAGACCACTTCTATGGTCCAGATACACATGCGCACCAAAGTTTTATGCGCCGCGATGCACCATATCAATTCACATAAGTTTAATTAATCAAATGGCCCTAATTGGCGTATACACCCTATTATCCTACACCGTGCCGCACTGGATCAATTCTTTATTGTGCCGCCGCTCCACATGCGCCAGTTACCTAGTATATATATATATATATATATATATATATATATATATATAATTATTTTCCTAACAAATAATAGGAAAATAAATCCTAATAAATTCCTAAAAATATCAGAAAAATCCAGAAA